CCTAAAACTCACAAAACTATAATAACCTAATTTCGTATTTTGAGGCTTCAGTGGCTTGGTGTACCCTCAGATGTCACACAATAGCCTTGCTTATGATACTGTTCTTCCAATCTTGCTTCATACTGCTCCAGTAATTCTCTCTCTCCAACACCTTTAAAACTTATCAAAAGTTCTTTCAAACTACTGTTCCCTGATCAATATTCTTTAACAGAACTTCGCAACAGCCTTAATCGATGAGGTGATTAGCGCTGTTTTGTGAATCTGTTACACTACTTTGCAAAATATTCAAAATCCCCTTTGCTTCTTGGAACGTGGAATGCGCCGCACAGTCATTCAGACTAAATCTGTCAGTATTTGCCTCAGCAGAGAGTTACACTAAGAACTATGCATTGTGGCGTTGCAACCTTTGCAACAGTAACCTAAATAAACAAAAGATTTAGCAAACTTAGCATCGACGCTGAAATGAGCATTTCCACTATGTGAAATTTTTTATACCCATTGGTGACATGCGCTACGTATATAAGTACCGAGATCGTAGCTAGATTCATGGGTAAATTATCTGCACTATTAATAACACATACACAATAAAAAATTTTAAGGCAGGACAAGTTTTGGCTCATGTTACCAAATAATATACTAAGTGGTCTATTTCTGCTGTTAATCCATATACCCGACGATTTTCTTCAAAATCAGCTCGAAGCATACAAATTATGCAACAGAAGTAGCTACAACACTGTTTTGTCCTTTCCGTTAACCATACCTTCCAGATACCTTTAACCAAGACCAAAAACGAACTTTTGCATTGATTGGATTAGTTACGCACAAAACAATCGGTTTCATGCATCGCACCAAGCAGAATCTTGCCTTCCGGCTCCCATGAGGATTCAAATGGGACGAGAAACATCTTGTCATATCATAAGAAAAAATCCCACAATAAATCCAACAGACTGAAACGTCGCTAACCAAGTATCCCAATCCCCATCCCAATCCCAATCCTCATTCAACGTTGTGCTAATAAGTGTCAACAGCAAACAAAACAGATGTTATATTCCAGTTGTGAGGAAAACAATGGAAACCCAAAGCTAAAAAATATTCTTAAAATTATAGTATAACCCAACAAAGCATATTGACAAATAATAAAATATAGTTGTGCGTATGTTTTACTGCAACTTGGCTCGAACGATCGATCATTCAAGTAGTAATCAGCTGCTGAACCTGAATCGAGAATAGGTAAATTATCAATTAATTTATATCTCAGGTGCGAAGAGGTTGATAATATAGTTAAGAGATCCATTCCAGTCTTATTTTATGCAACTTCTGTCGATTTCCGCCACGACGTCAATTTATGGTCAACTATGTTTAAATCAGAATTATTCTGGCATTAAAGCTCAAGCTTGAGAAACAGAAAATTACGCAAATTCATAAATTAAAAAAAAAATTAACACAAGACCAGAAGTGTTGACAACTGATATTAGTTGTCCTAGCGTTTGTTAACAGACACCCTGTTCCAACACAAATGACATTGGTTCCAAATGAGAAAAAAATTAAATCCTATATAACTTAGTCTAAAATAATGTTTAACTTTATATAAAATGCTACATTAGCATAAGGTAAAACACGTCAAACTGCAACGTTCACGGTCGAATACCCGAACAAGAACGGGGGTCGAGAAATGGGGAGATGTATCCGTATAACCTAGCAGACAGCCTCTCACGGGATTGATTTGTCAAACGCTATAAGAGCACGGTCCCGCCGCGACGGCGATTCGGGAACTGAGAGCGACTGCAAAAAGTGGGCCATCATAACCTCCTTCATGCCTTCTGGAAGTAGGAGTGTAGCAGCACGGGGATGGGTGCCGAAGTTTTAGAAAGATAAGACAAGGATACAAAACGAATATACAAATCAGCATCAGAGATGCTACCACTTTAAACGGACAGCATGGCCTTACAATCGGAAAATCGA